TGAATGGCAAGCACCCACAGGAATCTGCCTAACGGATACACACCCTGCCAGATGAGTGGGAAAGGGATTTTGGAGCGGAAAGGCGCTGAGCATCTCCTACTTTCTGCCCAGCAAGCCCTCCGGCTCTGCAGCCACCCTCAGAGGCTGCAGGAAGAGTCAGGCGGATGCTGCCTACAGAAAGCAAATCCCACTTGTCCGATCACGGCTGTCGGCACCCAGCTGAGATGCTGAAATTCACCTGGACTCCAGGTGGCTGCAGACAGCAGGGCTCCAAACACCCTCATGCAACCCTGCTGGTGGCTCCCTCCTCATGGGGTCATCTTGGAAGAGCTGCCATGGCAAGCTCTCCATTCTCATCGTGAAGCAGTCTTGCACCTTCCTCCCATAATGCCACTGTGGCTGTTTCTGAACGGCTGCTTGAGCAGCATGAGGCAGAGATGGAGGTGCAACGGCCCGATGCTATTGACTCCAGCCAGCAAGCGGGCAGTGTAATCTGTCTGCTTTTGTTCCGTTCACTTGGTGGTGTGCTCTCATTAGCCCCCCACCAACAGTCAACCTGTCAGCAGGTCTGCGCTCCAACTGCCTGACCTCTGACTTCCACTCATTCTTCCACAAATTAATTTCCCAAATTGACAAATTAAAGTGCACAGTATGCCCAAGGTCACTAAATCACACTGGGTTCTGGTAAATGTCAACCAGGGTTGGGTGGGGGTAAAGAGGAAAAATAGGGGGAGGGAAGGGATAGAAGATAAAAAGGGAAAAAAGAAATAAGGAAACATGCTTGTCTGAAAGAAATGGACAAAACCCTCTGAACTGTAGTTTCTGAATTGCAGAAGATGATGCTGTTGTGAGAGCAATTAAAATGGAACTGACAGCTCCCCTGGCACACAAGAAAGCAGGAAACACAACTGGCCAGAGCCATGTGCCCCAGCAGAAGGCCACTGTGGATAATCAAAATGGCCTTGGCTGACCCAGAAAAGTGGTACTTCCATTAAGCCCATCTCACTTGTGCTGCCACACTCATACATCGCAATTAGGTTTTTCCTGACTCCCATCAGTTGAATGGGAATCCCAGCCAGGGGCTGGACACTGGACATTGAATGAGCCAGTGCACACAGGTACCCAGGGAGAGGGCAGGAGGGTGAGCTAGAACTGGGAAGTGAAGAGCATTTAGGATTGCACCAGGTCCCTTTGAGTTCCGGGTGCCATCAAGACCAGGCCCTCACCACCACCATTGCAGTGTTGTGCAATCCTTCCCACAGACCAAGTGAATACTGGTCTGCCCTATCCCCTGCCCAAAAGTGATTAGAAATCCTCCAAGCCTCCGTGCAGCCATGGTCAATTTGTGTTTGTTCACGTGCCAGCATTGCTTTGATCTGAATTCATGCTTTCCTCTCCTTTGTATTTACCCGCTGCTGTATTTAAAGAAAGCCGGTATGTCCTCTCTCAGCCACCACACCCTGGGTGACGGAGGCCAGAGCTGGTACAATGGGGTCCCCCCTCCCCTGGTGCTCCTAACAGCCCAGATCCACACCTGTGCCCACAGAGCTTCATCTTTCTCGACCACAGCAGCCAGCAGTGCTGCAGGGGAGATCTGGCTCCTCTTCGGTGGCACTGATACTTCCCTGCCTCTTGGGAAGGCTGTGACTTAAATACTCTGTCTTTTCCCTGATGGCATGATATCTTTGCCTCTTAGTTACCCCCATCAACTAATATACCCAGGTCTTTCTCTTCTGAGTTTGTTTTGAGCTGATAAGCTTTCAGCTTACAGTGGAAATTCATGTTATTGGTCCCTAAGTGCACAACCTTGCACTCTATAATATTGAATTTCATCCCATTTCTATTAGTCTGGTCCTCAAGGTCAGTCAGTGCTTCCTGTACCATACCCTGATCTTCTTGCATAATAGTCATGCTCCCAAACTTAAGGTTATCTGCAGATTTCATCCATGCACTCCTGCCTTTCATGACAAGGCCATTACCGAAAATATTAAACAGAAACAGTCCCAAGACTACTCCTTGAGCAACTGCACAAGTAGTCCCCATCCAGCTTGATCCCTTCCTTAGCCAGACCTCGCACACTTTTCTTCTGCCTAACCCCATCATCCCCCACTGAACAAATGATTTCCCATGTGGCATCATATCAAATGCTTTGCTGATAGCCAGATGAACCAGCTGTGTTTCCTTTACCAGGAAAACCAATTAGCTTTCCTAGATAACATATCAGGTTCTTGTGGCACAATTCACCTTTGATAAAACCAGGCAGCAAAAACCTCGCTTTCTAATTGTGTCCTTTATTCTTTCCTGTAAAGACCCCAAAGATATTTGCCTTGAACAGAGTGCTGATGAAAGTGCACTGACTGCAGACAACAGCAGTGAGCGTTGTCCCCTTAGTGGTGTTTCCACCTAGGAGGGCACCAGAAAGAAAGCATCATTGCAGTGATCATTCCTCTGTTCTTCTTTCTGTAGCCCTTCTGTTTGTACAATGTGAAAGTAGCAACATCTGGCACAACCCCTGTCCAAGTCCAGCTGTGGCACCCGGTGTAGAATTTAACTACACTAACAAAAATTGGAGATCATTGCAAACACTAAAGAGCAGACGAGACCAGAAACTCCCATTTCATTCTCCCTGAACATGGCACTTCGCAGTCCTGATGAAGTACGTACAACTGCTCATGGAGTAAATTATTACTCCATAAACTGGGTTCAGTGGCTGCCATCTGGAACAATTTCATTGCTTGCCTGAGTTGTTTCTATTATCACTATGGTCAGGGGTCAGCAAATATGAGAATCTGGCCTACATTTGTTGTCCTCATTGTTATTATTGCTCATCAGAGCATCCTCCCAAGGAGTTATGACTTCAATAGGCTCCACTGCAGGGTTGCCCCTTAACAGATATAGTCAGTGCCATCCTATCATTCAGGAAGTCACTGACAAGCAGAGAACTGAGGTTTTACTCTTCCTGCAAAACAATACCCCCAGTCCGCATTTGCTTGAATCAATGTTGTATTTCTACAGGGCTCAGTTCTGCACAGCCTGCTTCACAAAGAATAAGGTATGGGATGAGGTTTAGGGTGCTAATGCTGTAGACAGGATACAAAATGTTCAGATCACCAATTTGTATGCAACCCTGGTGGGCTGTACTGTGGTTCTGTGAGGGGGATCCCTGTATCATTCATCACCCTGTGAGCTGAGAGCAAGGAGAGGTGGTGGTTCTCATCTACTCCCATCTTCTTCCCTGAGGTCAGGAATGACAGCATGAGGGAGAAACCAGGTCTTCTCCCTCTGACCTGAGGCAATGCCTGTTGAAGGAGGGAATTCATAGCAGCCTTCCAGTATCTGAAGGGTCCCTATAAGGATGCTGGGGAGGGACTCTTCATGAGGGACAGGATAGTGATAGGACAAGGGGTAACGGGTTCAAGCTTAAACAGGGGAAGTTTAGGCTGGATATAAGGGTGAAGTTCTTTACTGTAAGGGTGGTGAGGCACTGGAATGGGTTGCCCAGGGAAATTGTGAATGCTCCATCCCTGGCAGTGCTCAAGGCCAGGTTGGACAGAGCCTTGGGTGGCATGGTTTAGTGTGAGGTGTCCCTGCCCATGGCAGGGGGGTTAGAACTTGATGATCTTAAGGTCCTTTGTAAACCTAACTATTCTGTGATTCTGTGATTCTATGACAATACAGTCCCTTAAGTCTTAGAATGCTGCACCATGGCTTTGAGCAGAAATCCCTCTAGGTCCCCCTTCCTGTTAAATTGCTCTGCTTGCAGGGGAGCAGGCACTTACTGATGCTCTGTCACGAACACTGACACAGCTCACAAGGGAAGGAGATGGGCTCTGCCCATCACTGCCCATCATTTGCTGCAGCAAAAAGCTGATCATGCAAGTAGTCCTGTATATTTTATATGTTTGGAAAAAGGTGGTGTCATCCTATTAGATGTCTGAGGGGAATTCTTATGCTCCCTGACTCCCTTGCATTGGCATGTAGTCTGGGTTAAAGACCAGCAGAGAGTAAACTCCTTGTCATAACTCATTTGAATGTGGTCAGGCAGGTATGAATCTGTGCATGTCACACAGAACAGCCTGCTTTCTTCATCCCTGTTTCCAGATGGTAAAACACAGCATGAAAGCAAATCATCATCTGAAGAATTTTGTTGGTTTAGTGGGGATTTTTTTACTACAGTTTATCTTCTTCCCTGTAACAGTGACACTGCACCTCTCCAGCTTGCATTTCAGCCCATAAAATAAGCTCTTCAAAATAAAAAATGATCATGTCACCCATCAGTCTTAATGTTACTTCTAAGACCACTAATTGATTCTGCTGCTCTGATATCCTCTTGCAAGGCATTCCAGAGCCTAGGAACATTAACAAGCAAATGTTCTGGCACCAGCTGTCTTAAGCCTAAATCTAGTCTCCACCAAAAGGCTGGCATTAGATGTCTTCTCATTTTACATGTTTGCATTTTTACAACAACATTCCACAGTTTTGAGTCTACTGTAGGTTGGCTGAAGAGTCAGTTTTGTGAGCTACAATCTGAGTCTTACCCTGAGTCAAGAAAAACAATGACCACAAGAGAAAAGAGGTTTCAACAGAAAAGTTGGGGTTTGGGTTAGCTCTGTAGAGTGTACGTCCACAGGTGCATATCCCAGGACATGGACGTGAACTAGTGCGGCCGTGTCATTTATTCTCCTGGGCCTAGGGACCTGTCTAAGCGAAGGAGGGTGTTTTGCTTTGTATACATATTGGTTGAAACACATGAAAACACTCCCCATTCCTTTTAATACTGCATGTTGCTGCACTTTTCTTGCTGCTGCTTATGACAATGTACTCCTGTGTGCTGATCCTCCACAAACCAAGCTGGGCAAACAGGTAAGGTTCATGAAGGGACATGAAGTCTGTTACAGTTAGTCTACTAAGCCAGCACAGCTAGAAGTCCCAGGGCACTAGCCAGAATCACCTCTGTCATCTCATAACACATAGTGATCTAATTGAAGAAAGATCAAATCTCACTCGTTAGTCCCGGTGTCTCTTTTCACAAACCACGGGAAGCAATAAACCACAAACCACAGAGAGTGTAACAAAATTCAAGCAGGCTACCAGTTTAAACCTTGGAGCAGGCAGGGAGACATTCTATTTATCCTGGCACTCGCGAGATCAGCATCTCAACCTGTTTCTTTCTCAGCAGCCTGCTAGGTGTGATCAGAGTTCACACATGGGATTTGCTGCTTTTAGTGCTGTAAAATAAAGTGCAGAAAAGCAAGTACAAAAGTCACACACAGACACAAGAAAGAAAGGCAAGATCATTTACTATAACCAAAACTTTGCACTTCTTGTCACCAAGTGGACTTGTCAGTCTCACGTGCATAGCCAAGGAAATCAACCCTAGACCCCAGAAATTATGCTGTGTATCATATGACCTACTGGCATATTAATACCCTTTCCTTTTTAAATCTTTGCTCTCCCTTTGGAGCCTGCCCTCTCAGTGGGGATCAGGCTGACACATTATAGGCTCAGTTTTCTTTCTGAGCTGACAACTCATCCAGGAAGAGCTGGCTTGGATGTCAGTCTTCGGAGGATACATAGAAAATTCCAATGTGTAATTTGCATATCATCACTTTACTGGAAAGTATCGTAAAAAGAAATAAATATTTCTCTCTTTCAGGGCAATACCTTCAGCTTTTAGCCAGCATGTCATACTTGAAATAAAAACAGCCTATGCACGAGTTTCACCGGGTGACAGTCTTCTCAATAATGCTGAGCTGAGGAAAAGCCAGTGCAGAGACAGCCCCTCTGGTCATCTTGCTCGTCCCTTCTTCCCGCATCTATTTATGGAAATATTTGAAAATTGCAGTATAGTCCTTATTTTAGGTGACTCCAGTTGTTACCTTTGGAAACCTTCCTGGAAGGCTGCCTTCCTAAAAGAGCTCGTTATAAAATGCAGTCTAGAAAGACAGCATAGGAAACAAAAAGCCTGAGAAACAGATTAGTTTCTTCCATCATCTTCCCCATAGATAGACTGTGATAGTAGGAAAACCACACCTGAATTCAGTATTGGGTGGCCTCATTACTGAAAATGTTAATTTTCTTTTAAGTAGAGCAGATGATTACGTAATTATGGCAATATAATATTACCTTGTAGTTATACAAGAATGATCATCTCATGAGTGTTTTTACTATGCAACAGGGGCTTCATTTCCCAAATCATGTTGTAATTATACACTGCATGGATAATACATCTAGAGGAAGAGCTGCACCTGGACAACAGAAACCATATAATCATACCAGTGAACTTCTCAAGGCAGCCCTCTTGTTGGAGCCCAGATTGACTGCTGTTTGGAAAACATATGCCTCTCTTCTCCACAGCTGGGTCCTCTAACTTCGCAATGAGACTCAAGTGCATATACAGGCCAGCTACTAGTAGTGCCTAATTTAGAAATAAGCCTTTGGACAATGTCATGGTCAAGATGGGAACGAGTAAAAATCTTCTCTTCCAGTGCTGTCCTGCCTCAACCGAGAGAATTGGTCCTGGGACCCCAGCAGGCCTAGCAGGTAGCCCAGTAATGTAGGGAGACGGGAAAGCACCACCAGCAGCCATGGAAGGAACATGCTCAAGTGCAGAAACCTTGATAGCTCTTTTTGAGTAGTGTCCACTGCAGCTGATGCCAAAAAAGAACAAGGTTATGATCTGTCATTTTCCACAATCCCCTGCCTTGTACCACACTGGAAAGACAAACTGCTCTCTCCTGCTGAAGAATAGATGTGAAAACAGGGGTTATTTGCACCTTCTCAGACACCACCATGTACCCCCATAAAACCTGTCACAATACAGCCCTCAGTGACCTAATTTACAAGGGGCAGGATACAGAAGTGTTAAAAAGTGAAGAATTTGGGAAGCTACCTACGTCTGTGCTTATTCTGTCATCTGCTTGTACATGTTTTGGAGCTCCTTTCAGTGGAAACCCAGAGACTTGCCACCAGAACAGCAAGCTCTTCAAGCAGCACAGATGAAGGATCAGAAGTGTATGAACTCTTTGCCCCCAGCTTTTGTTGAGCAAATTAATTTCTTCTATTGTTACTTGCAGAAGTGGTTCTGGGTAACTGTTTGCAGAGACCTTGCTACTGGAGAGCAATGCCCACATGAACACAGGAGTCCCAGTCTGCTTAAAAGACCAGCATGACTTACATCAAGGAGAGACCGCTGTGTGTCCAAGAACAGTTTCTTATGGTTTGCTTCTTAAAAGGAAGGTCAGTCTTCAAAAACATGATGTGCTCAATGTTAAACCCTTACCTGTGTATCCTTCTATCCATAAAGCAGAAAGTAAGCAGGCTGTGGCTCCTTAAAGCAGCTTTAAGTACAGACATAATCCTCCAAGGCTGGGACCATCAAGGGGCTTTTAGTCCTGCAGTTTTAAATCTGCCTGCCTCAGTGGCTTTGTCCACACCGGTCTTGACATGTTTTTGCTGCAGTCCTGGCCAGCTGAGGGACCGACGTGTCAGACAAAAGCACTCTAAAACCTCATTCCAAGCTTCTGTAGGCCATGCTGTACGCTGCTACTGCAGTGATAAGAGCAGAGTTAGGTGGACAAGGACAGAGCTACAAGCTGATGACAGAATCTCTCATTCACTGAATACTGGAAAAGTCCATGTCTCTTCAGCAAGCACCCAGGTAATTTCATTGTGAGAAGGCTTTTTTCCTCTAAGATTAAACAAAAATTAACCCAAGTCAATTAACTGACTGGTAATAAATGTACCTTTCTTGCAGTTTCTTTCCTATTATGCCCAGTTTCTTTTCCCATGATGCCCTTGCAGCTTCTTTTCCCATTCATTGCAGAAAGAAGCCATGCAGATGGGCAGATTTATTTAGGTTGAATAAAATGTTGTGGAAAGACCCATATCCATGACATTGCCGTTGTTCTCCAAAGACCCCTTTCAGAGGTCCTCTTAATGTTAAAGTTGCATCCTTCAGGTTTGGGGAAGGGTATGTTAGCAGCACAACTTTGAGATACTTCCTTCCTCTGACTTCTGTTAAAGTTGACCAAAGAGTCCACAGGGGCCAAGATGTCAAGGCAACATCACCCCATGCTGCTCTGCCTGAAGCCACTCCAATAGTAGGATAAAATCACATCTGTCAGAATTGCTACTGAAGAGAGAGCCCAAAGAATATCTGAGGAGAAAGCCATATACCTTGCTTTTTTTTTTTTTTTTTTTTTACCAGGAAGCATGAGAAATGCCTGCAGTTTCTTGGGTCATTTTAACTCCTTCTTTAGAGCTTGCCATGTTAATAGGCAAAGGAAGTTCAGCTTTGATTGCCTGACACCTGGAAGCCCAGCAGAGGAGCACTTTAAACTGCAGGCTGTCAGATTGCCACCAACATACAGTGCTCCACCTCCAAAACTGATAGGCGTCACCAGCCTGCATTTTGTGTGTTTGTTTTTTCCTAGAGGACATAACCTGGTCTGTGGTGTTTTCCCTGTACAGTAAGCTCACACCATGTTTGAGGAGGAGCTGTGATTTCAGTCAGGAAATCTCTGAACAGTAACTAAGTACTTCCTACATTGGCTATGGTTGGCTCTGTAGTTTCATTTACAGATGAATCATCCTCAAGAATAAACACCCTGGGTGGGGCATGGATGGGTCTCCCTCCTTGCCCCCACCCCCAGTGCTTTGAATACTGCAGTGTTTTGATTTTTAAAACATATGTCTAACAAATGTAGCAGTGATAATGAGGAACATGTCAATCTGCCATGCTTCCTGTTCAAATTTCTGTTTTCTTTTCTAAGGTTCAAGTACATCTTAATCCCCACGAGATAAATGTGAGCAAGTACAACAGAAGTGTAGAGCGGAGAAGAGGTGAGAGCTCAGAGCCGCAATGAAAAGCATTGCACATGACAGCTGGGGTCTGCTACGGGGTAAGGCTGGTCCAGCAGTCCTATCTCACCCTGATGGACCAGTTGGTCAAAGGACCTGACCCCCACTTTTGGAAGAGCCTGTGCACTGCCCCAGTGGTGTCTGACAAATTTGCTTTCTGCTGCCAAAGAGACAGTGAAAGTTTCTGTGGCCAAACTCTCCATGTCTCTCTCCTTTCCAGACTGCATCTAACAATTCTGTCAAACTTTTTTGACTGCTGAAGGCCACATAAACTATTGTTTTACATGTCTGAACTGCCCTGTGCTATGTCTTCTGCTGCCCAGATCCCTGCCTGCCTCAGTGGATGGTGCTGAGACCTCACAACTACAACAGGACATTGCCACAGATTACATAAACATGCACACTATCCTTCCATGCAGGAAGGGAGATGTTTCAGATGCTTCAGGAGAGATAATTTACTCTTTTTCATACACAGCATGCATGGAGCACCCTTCTCTATCACCAGCCTCACAGCTAAAATTTTACCTGAAATAGCCTGAAAATGCTATTCCAGCCTCTTAGCATTCACTCTTTGGTTTTTATAGTACAAAAAGAGCACTTTGACTCATTCTTTCATTCACAGGCCAGTATCTAGATTTTGTGAGTCAATTCAGATCAGTCCATCCTGACAGACTTTTGTCTGATATTTATTCTAAGAACATCTTTACTAACTTTCAGATTAGAAATTACAAGAAATACAAAAATCATGGGGGGAAGGGGAAAGGAAGAGAAAGAAGATCATTATCTAGGGTTGTATGATAACATTTCAGAGATTTCCAAAAAGTGGCAAACAGACCTACAGAAAAGCTGACTGGTTTTGCCAAAAACTTTACTGAAAAAAGGACAGTCCATATGTCATGCAATTAAAGGCAAGGAGATAAAACATGGGAGTGCTATAAAGAGATGACATTTGACATGAAATCTCATCCTGCTTCCCATTCATGAGGAGTTAAATTAGGCAACCAAATTCTGGCTATGACCAACAGGTTGGTATAGATATGGACAGTTCACTTTAGCTATTGTCCATCTGTTCATGGACATGAACATATTTGAGACCAGCCAACCCACTGATAAACAACATGACTTACTTCCATAAGCTCCTCCTAGCTCTTGTCATAAGCATGTGTTTCATTATGTAGGAAAAAGTCAAGAGACACCCTTGACCACAGTGCCAGACAGCATTTAGAGTTACCTCTTCCTCCAAAGGAGGCTCAGCCATTATTGACAGTTTCAGCAATCCTCCAACTTCATGTGATTAGAGAGGGTTTCCACTGACCCGCTATCCTCAGCTGCAGCTAGTGAACAAGCCTAACAAAGCCATATAACCAGTCTAACAAACAGTTTAAACACATTTGTCCTCTACCTCAACTTCACCAGTGCTGTGATTTTGCCACACTTCTCAAAATTGGGCCACTAGCTTAGGTCTAACACATAGATGTCCAGTGCCATTTTGGATGTCTTTGGGTTTCTAGAACAAGCAGGGGAGAGCTGCACCATTTAGGAGTGGGAGCTGGGTGCCAGGAGGGTGTGGAGAAGTGCGCTGAGTGCCTTTGTGTAGGCACCATATTGCTTCCTCCCTCTGGGCTGTGGTACCAGTCTCTAAGTAACCACACTTGCTTTTCCTAGTCTAAAAATGCTGATGTTGTCTTTAATTAAAAACAGTTGTACTTCAGAATAATCTTATCTGATAGACCTTGGCAAGCCATGATTAAGCATTTTCTCCCCTGTATCACCATGGGGAAATGGTAAACACCAAGAGAGCAAGTCCCAAGACAAAACTGCAGAATCTGGTAAGGGAGCACCCAAAGCAACATCCATTTAATGCACCAGCTATTGTATTAGCAATAAACTTTCGTCTGGCAAATTTTTAAAATACACAGCACTCATAATGATGCTGATTACTAATTAGAAATGCACCAGCAACCAGGTGTTAATCATTGCATAGTAATTTATCAACAAATACTTCAGCTGGGGAAAGGGAAGCATCATTTAAAATGCTGGATGCTGTGACAGTTGGGCTGGCAGGGGACAGCCTGGCTGCCTCTTGCCTAAGGTTGAGCAGACTGATCAAGTGTCACACTCTAGGTCACCCTGCAAGCCCATGGCTCAGGAGGGATTACAGCATGGCAAGATCCTTTGTGACACCCGCTTTTGCCCTCTGACCTCTAGACCTCATGGCTCCTCATCAAAATATGACCTGCTTAGATAAAAATATCCAGTATTGTTTCACTCTCGAGCAACTGGTATGCAAAATGACTACAGCCTGTTTTTGCTTTGCTCTCAGTGAGCAGCACAGGTTTTCTGCCCTGCCTGTGCTACTTCCATCATGGTGTTACTGGCAAAATTACACAGCTAAATTGCTAGCCAGAATCAATAGAAATAAGAATAAGCCCAATCAGCATATATTGACATAAACACACCTCACCATGTCATCAACATCTGGTAAGATC